AGAGTTACACAGAGAGACATAGAGTTACACAGAGAGACATAGAGTTACACAGAGAGCCATAGAGTTACACAGAGAGCCATAGAGTTACACACAGAGCCATAGAGTTACACAGAGAGACAGAGTTACACAGAGAGCCATAGAGTTACACAGAGAGCCATAGAGTTACACAGAGAGCCATAGAGTTACACAGAGAGCCATAGAGTTACACAGAGAGCCATAGAGTTACACAGAGATCCATAGAGTTACACAGAGAGCCATAGAGTTACACAGAGAGACAGAGTTACACAGAGAGCCATAGAGTTACACAGAGAGCCATAGAGTTACACAGAGAGCCATAGAGTTACACAGAGAGCCATAGAGTTACACAGAGAGCCATAGAGTTACACAGAGAGCCATAGAGTTACACAGAGAGCCATAGAGTTACACAGAGAGCCATAGAGTTATACAGAGAGCCATAGAGTTACACAGATAGCCATAGAGTTACACAGAGAGCCATAGAGTTACACAGAGAGCCGTAGAGTTACACAGAGAGCCATAGAGTTACACAGAGAGCCATAGAGTTACACAGAGATCCATAGAGTTACACAGAGCCATAGAGTAACACAGGGATCCATAGAGTTACACAGAGAGCCATAGAGTTACACAGAGAGCCATAGAGTTACACAGAGAGCCATAGAGTTACACAGAGAGCCATAGAGTTGCACAGAGAGCCATAGAGTTACACAGAGAGCCATAGAGTTACACAGAGATCCATAGAGTTACACAGAGAGCCATATAGTTACACAGAGAGGCATAGAGTTACACAGAGAGGCATAGAGTTACACACAGAGCCATAGAGATACACACAGAGCCATAGAGTTACACAGAGAGCCATAGAGTTACACAGAGAGCCATAGAGTTACACAGAGATCCATAGAGTTATACAGAGAGCCATAGAGTTACACAGGGATCCATAGAGTTACACAGAGAGCCATAGAGTTACACAGAGAGCCATAGAGTTACACAGAGAGCCATAGAGTTACACAGAGAGCCATAGAGTTGCACAGAGAGCCATAGAGTTACACAGAGAGCCATAGAGTTACACAGAGAGCCATAGAGTTACACAGAGAGCCATATAGTTACACAGAGAGGCATAGAGTTACACAGAGAGCCATAGAGTTATACAGAGAGCCATAGAGTTACACAGAGAGCCATAGAGTTACACAGAGAGCCATAGAGTTACACAGAGAGGCATAGAGATACACACAGAGCCATAGAGTTACACAGAGAGATATAGAGTTACACAGAGAGCCATAGAGTTACATAGAGTTACACAGAGAGCCATAGAGTTACACAGAGAGCCATAGAGTTACACACAGAGCCATAGAGATACACACAGAGCCATAGAGTTACACAGAGAGCCATAGAGTTACACAGAGAGCCATAGAGTTACACAGATATCCATAGAGTTACACAGAGAGCCATAGAGTTACACAGGGATCCATAGAGTTACACAGAGAGCCATAGAGTTACACAGAGAGCCATAGAGTTACACAGAGAGCCATATAGTTAAACTGAGAGCCATAGAGTTACACAGAGAGCCATAGAGTTACACAGAGAGCCATAGAGTTACACAGAGAGCCATAGAGTTACACAGAGAGCCATAGAGTTACACAGAGAGCCATAGAGTTACACAGAGAGCCATAGAGTTACACAGAGAGACATAGAGTTACACAGAGAGCCATAGAGTTACACAGAGAGTCATAGAGTTACACAGAGAGCAATAGAGTTACACAGAGAGCCATAGAGATACACAGAGAGCCATAGAGTTACACAGAGAGCCATAGAGTTACACAGGGATCCATAGAGTTACACAGAGAGCCATAGAGTTACACAAAGAGCCATATAGTTACACAGAGAAGCATAGAGTTACACAGAGAGCCATAGAGTTACACAGAGAGCCATAGAGTTACACAGATAGCAATAGAGTTACACAGAGAGCCATAGAGTTACACAGAGAGCCATAGAGTTACACAGATAGCAATAGAGTTACACAGAGAGCCATAGAGTTACACAGATAGCAATAGAGTTACACAGAGAGCCATAGAGTTACACAGAGAGCCATAGAGTTACACAGATAGCAATAGAGTTACACAGAGAGCCATAGAGTTACACAGAGAGCCATAGAGTTACACAGAGAGCCATAGAGTTACACAGAGAGCCATAGAGTTACACAGAGAGCCATAGAGTTACATAGAGTTACACAGAGAGCCATAGAGTTACACAGAGAGCCATAGAGTTACACACAGAGCCATAGAGATACACACAGAGCCATAGAGTTACACAGAGAGCCATAGAGTTACACAGAGAGCCATAGAGTTACACAGATATCCATAGAGTTACACAGAGAGCCATAGAGTTACACAGGGATCCATAGAGTTACACAGAGAGCCATAGAGTTACACAGAGAGCCATAGAGTTACACAGAGAGCCATATAGTTAAACTGAGAGCCATAGAGTTACACAGAGAGCCATAGAGTTACACAGAGAGCCATAGAGTTACACAGAGAGCCATAGAGTTACACAGAGAGCCATAGAGTTACACAGAGAGCCATAGAGTTACACAGAGAGCCATAGAGTTACACAGAGAGACATAGAGTTACACAGAGAGCCATAGAGTTACACAGAGAGTCATAGAGTTACACAGAGAGCAATAGAGTTACACAGAGAGCCATAGAGATACACAGAGAGCCATAGAGTTACACAGAGAGCCATAGAGTTACACAGGGATCCATAGAGTTACACAGAGAGCCATAGAGTTACACAAAGAGCCATATAGTTACACAGAGAAGCATAGAGTTACACAGAGAGCCATAGAGTTACACAGAGAGCCATAGAGTTACACAGATAGCAATAGAGTTACACAGAGAGCCATAGAGTTACACAGAGAGCCATAGAGTTACACAGATAGCAATAGAGTTACACAGAGAGCCATAGAGTTACACAGATAGCAATAGAGTTACACAGAGAGCCATAGAGTTACACAGAGAGCCATAGAGTTACACAGATAGCAATAGAGTTACACAGAGAGCCATAGAGTTACACAGAGAGCCATAGAGTTACACAGAGAGCCATAGAGTTACACAGAGAGCCATAGAGTTACACAGAGAGACATAGAGTTACACAGAGAGACATAGAGTTACACAGAGAGCCATAGAGTTACACAGAGAGCCATAGAGTTACACACAGAGCCCTAGAGTTACACAGAGAGACAGAGTTACACAGAGAGCCATAGAGTTACACAGAGAGCCATAGAGTTACACAGAGAGCCATAGAGTTACACAGAGAGCCATAGAGTTACACAGAGAGCCATAGAGTTACACAGAGAGCCATAGAGTTACACAGAGAGACAGAGTTACACAGAGAGCCATAGAGTTACACAGAGAGCCATAGAGTTACACAGAGAGCCATAGAGTTACACAGAGAGCCATAGAGTTACACAGAGAGCCATAGAGTTACACAGAGAGCCATAGAGTTACACAGAGAGACATAGAGTTACACAGAGAGCCATAGAATTACACAGAGAGCCATAGAGTTACACAGAGAGCCATAGAGTTACACAGAGAGACATAGAGTTACACAGAGAGCCATAGAGTACACAGAGAGCCATAGAGTTACACAGAGAGCCATAGAGTTATACAGAGAGCCATAGAGTTACACAGATAGCCATAGAGTTACACAGAGAGCCATAGAGTTACACAGAGAGCCGTAGAGTTACACAGAGAGCCATAGAGTTACACAGAGAGCCATAGAGTTACACAGAGATCCATAGAGTTACACAGAGCCATAGAGTAACACAGGGATCCATAGAGTTACACAGAGAGCCATAGAGTTACACAGAGAGCCATAGAGTTACACAGAGAGCCATAGAGTTACACAGAGAGCCATAGAGTTGCACAGAGAGCCATAGAGTTACACAGAGAGCCATAGAGTTACACAGAGATCCATAGAGTTACACAGAGAGCCATATAGTTACACAGAGAGGCATAGAGTTACACAGAGAGGCATAGAGTTACACACAGAGCCATAGAGATACACACAGAGCCATAGAGTTACACAGAGAGCCATAGAGTTACACAGAGAGCCATAGAGTTACACAGAGATCCATAGAGTTATACAGAGAGCCATAGAGTTACACAGGGATCCATAGAGTTACACAGAGAGCCATAGAGTTACACAGAGAGCCATAGAGTTACACAGAGAGCCATAGAGTTACACAGAGAGCCATAGAGTTGCACAGAGAGCCATAGAGTTACACAGAGAGCCATAGAGTTACACAGAGAGCCATAGAGTTACACAGAGAGCCATATAGTTACACAGAGAGGCATAGAGTTACACAGAGAGCCATAGAGTTATACAGAGAGCCATAGAGTTACACAGAGAGCCATAGAGTTACACAGAGAGCCATAGAGTTACACAGAGAGGCATAGAGATACACACAGAGCCATAGAGTTACACAGAGAGACATAGAGTTACACAGAGAGCCATAGAGTTACATAGAGTTACACAGAGAGCCATAGAGTTACACAGAGAGCCATAGAGTTACACACAGAGCCATAGAGATACACACAGAGCCATAGAGTTACACAGAGAGCCATAGAGTTACACAGATAGCAATAGAGTTACACAGAGAGCCATAGAGTTACACAGAGAGCCATAGAGTTACACAGAGAGCCATAGAGTTACACAGGGATCCATAGAGTTACACAGGGATCCATAGAGTTACACAGAGAGCCATAGAGTTACACAGCTATAGAGTTACACAGAGAGCCATAGAGTTACACAGAGAGCTATAGAGTTACACACAGAGCCATAGAGTTACACAGAGAGCCATAGAGTTACACAGAGAGACATAGAGTTACACAAAGAGCCATAGAGTTACACAGATATCCATAGAGTTACACAGAGAGCCATAGAATTACACCGAGATCCATAGAGTTACACAGAGAGCCACAGATTTACACAGGGATCCATAGAGTTACACAAAGAGGCATAGAGTTACACAGAGAGCCATAGAGTTACACAGAGAGCCATAGAGTTATACAGAGAGCCATAGAGTTACACAGAGAGCCACAGAGTTACACAGAGAGCCATAGAGTTACACAGAGAGCCATAGAGTTACACAGAGATCCATAGAGTTACACAGGGATCCATAGAGTTACACAGGGATCCATAGAGTTACACAGAGAGGCATAGAGTTACACAGAGAGCCATAGAGTTACACAGAGAGCCATAGAGTTACACAGCGAGCCATAGAGTTACACAGAGAGCCATAGAGTTACACAGAGACTCATTGAATGAGTCCCTATTCCAGCCACTAAGGCCCTATTGAAGCCGTTATTTTACAAGGGCGATGTCCATAGGCCAAGACCGTTGTGGTGATGATGATGATGATGAGGGTGATGATGATAATGAGGTTGATAATGATGATGAGGGTGTTGTGGGTGATGATGATGGGGGTGATGATGATGAGGGTGATGATGATGATGATCATGAGGGTGACGATGACGAGGGTGATGATGATGACGAGGGTGATGATGATGATAATGATGAGGGTGACGATGATGAGGGTGATGATGACGAGGGTGATGAGGGTGATGATGAGAGTGATGATGAGAGTGATGATGATGAGGGTGATGATAATGAGGGTGATGAGGGTGGTGACAATGATGAGAGTGATGATGAGGGTGACGAGGGTGATGAGGGTGATGATGATGAGGGTGATGATGATGATGAGGGTGATGATGATGATGAGGGTGATGAGGGTGATGATGACGAGGGTGATGATGACGAGGGTGATGATGACGAGGGTGATGATGACGAGGGTGATGAGAGTGATGATGTCGAGGGTGATGAGGGTGATGATGAGAGTGATGATGATGAGGGTGATGAGAGTGATGATGATGAGGGTGATGAGGGTGACGAGGGTGACGAGGGTGATGAGGGTGATGAGGATGACGAGGGTGATGAGGGTGACGAGGGTGATGAGGTTGATGAGGGTGATGACAATGATGAGAGTGATGATGATGAGGGTGACGAGGGTGACGAGGGTGCGTGTAACTTGCCGGATGAGGTCAATGGGCTGGTATTTGTAGAAGACTCCATAACTCGCCCACTCCTCGTACAGCACCTGGGATGGTGGCGTCGCAGCAGCAGGGAGCAGAGGCAGGCGAGAACGGATTATATCCATCAACACATTTGACTTGCGTCTCGTGCGCCACACTTTTGTCCCGCTGCTGTTTTTATTTTAATTTGTTATTTTAGTGACCCCCCCCCCTCCCCAAGGTCACTCTTGCAAATGAGACTCTCTGTGTCCCAGCCTCTCGAGATCTGCATCCCCACTTGAACGAAATTCAACTTGAACCTTGAACCCGACGCGAACGGCAGCGCTCTGTTCAGCAGCGCCTCGCGTGGCGACGTCGCTCTGCACCGCGGCCACCTGAGTTCGATCCCCACCCACGGCTCGAAGCGAATCGCAAAGGTCAGTCCCGTGACCTTGACCTTCCACGCATCACCATGCCAACTGGAAATCTCGTAGCATCGGTCAAGTCCCAGGTGCATTTGCCTCCCCCATGTTACACGACAGGGAAGTCAGGGCGCGTACTGACGACGGTTACCACCCACATCGCGTTCGTGCTGGACAGGGCGCTACGATACATCCGAAATAGAAGAGAGGTGCGCGGCGCGTGATGGAGCCATCACAGCGCACGAGCCTCGAGCGCGCCTGTTCACGAGCACGCGTGGGGATGTCTCCGTCAAAGTTGCGGCAAGGGCTGCAACAAAAACAAAGACCCCCCGTGTAGCCTCAACAAACTGTTGGGGCAAGTGCTGTCAGCGAGCAGCACCTGTGAAGGCCGGCACGGCACGCGAGGGGGTGGGTGGCCAGCAACCACGCCCGACCGCCTTTGTCTCCCCCAGTGGCGAACTCAGTGGGCAGTCGTCGACAGTATGCGACGCGGTACAGAGTCACAGCCGCCAAATGTGGGTCCTGTGTGTGCGCTGAACTTCGTTCGCACCGCAGCGCGCGTAGCCAACCGTGCTGACGGGAGGTGCCGGAGACCTCCCCTCGTGCAAGTTCGCTGCCACAGAGACCTCGTCCCGTGTCCCGCACTCGTCCAGCAGGAGCTCGAACCGGGTCTTGGTACCCAAACTCCCCCCCTCGATTCCAGCCGACACGCGGCCCAGCGCCGCAGCGCGACGCACCGCTCCGCAAGAGACACCGGTGACACTGCTAGAGCCGTATTGTGTACATGACAGAGGGGAGCGGAAACAAATGACGGAGTTCGTGGTGGACACCCACGGGGCTATCTTTCCCGCGGATCGCGCTGCTGATGGTGATGGTGGAAGTCGACGCCTCTCTCGCGGCTCTCGGCACGTTCCCACGATCGCCGTGGATCGATCGCGACGGGACGCGGCTTCTAAGCGCGAGCTGGAGACCAGCAAGCCGGATATGTCACTCAGCCTCACCCACAGACTCACCCACAGCCTCACCCACAGACTCACCCAGAGCCTCACCCACAGCCTCACCCACAGCCTCACCCACAGCCTCACCCACAGCCTCACCCCCAGCCTCACCCACAGCCTCACCCACAGCCTCACCCACAGCCTCACCCACAGACTCACCAAATACCTCACCCCCAGCCTCACCCACAGCCTCACCCACAGCCTCACCCACAGACTCACCCAATACCTCACCCCCAGCCTCACCCACAGCCTCACCCACAGCCTCACCCACAGCCTCACCCACAGCCTCACCCACAGCCTCACCCACAGCCTCACCCACAGCCTCACCCACAGCCTCACCCACAACCTCACCCACAGCCTCACCCACAGCCTCACCCAATACCTCACCCCCAGCCTCACCCACAAACTCACCCCCAGCCTCACCCACAGCCTCATCCACAGACTCACCTCCAGCCTCACCCCCAGACTCACCCACAGCCTAACCAAATACCTCACCCCCAGCCTCACCCACAGACTCACCCACAGCCTCACCCACAGCCTCACCCACAGCCTCACCCACAGACTCACCCACAGCCTCACCAAATACCTCACCCCCAGCCTCACCCACAGACTCACCCACAGCCTCACCAAATACCTCACCCCCAGCCTCACCCACAGACTCACCCACAGCCTCACCCACAGACTCACCCACAGCCTCACCCACAGACTCACCCACAGCCTCACCCACAGACTCACCCACAGCCTCACCAAATACCTCACCCCCAGCCTCACCCACAGACTCACCCACAGCCTCACCTCCAGCCTCACCCACAGACTCACCCACAGCCTCACCCACAGCCTCACCCAATACCTCACCCCCAGCCTCACCCACAGACTCACCCACAGCCTCACCCACAGACTCACCCACAGCCTCACCCACAGCCTCACCCACAGCCTCACCCACAGCCTCACCCAATACCTCACCCAATACCTCACCCACAGCCTCACCCCCAGACTCACCCCCAGCCTCACCCACAGCCTCACCCAATACCTCAACTCCAGCCTCACCCACAGCCTCACCCACAGCCTCACCCACAGACTCACCCACAGCCTCACCCACAGACTCACCCACAGCCTCACCCACAGCCTCACCCACAGACTCACCCACAGACTCACCCACAGCCTCACCCACAGACTCACCCACAGCCTCACCCACAGACTCACCCACAGACTCACCCACAGCCTCACCCACAGACTCACCCCCAGCCTCACCCACAGCTTCACCCCCGCTTCACCCCCAGCCTCACCCACAGCCTCACCCACAGCCTCACCCACAGCCTCACCCACAGCCTCACCCACAGCCTCACCCACAGCCTCACCCACAGCCTCACCCACAGCCTCACCCACAGACTCACCCAATACCTCAACTCCAGCCTCACCCACAGCCTCACCCACAGACTCACCCACAGGCTCACCCAATACCTCACCCCCAGCCTCACCCACAGACTCACCCACAGCCTCACCCACAGCCTCACCCACAACCTCACCCACAGCCTCACCCACAGACTCACCCACAGGCTCACCCAATACCTCACCCCCAGCCTCACCCACAGCCTCACCCACAGCCTCACCCACAGACTCACCCACAGCCTCACCCCCAGCCTCACCCACAGCCTCACCCACAACCTCACCCACAGCCTCACCCACAGACTCACCCACAGCCTCACCCACAGCCTCACCCACAGACTCACCCACAGCCTCACCCCCAGCCTCACCCACAGACTCACCCACAGACTCACCCAATACCTCACCAACAGCCTCACCCACAGCCTCACCCACAGCCTCACCCACAGCCTCACCCAATACCTCACCAACAGCCTCACCCACAGCCTCACCCACAACCTCACCCACAGCCTCACCCACAGACTCACCCACAGCCTCACCCACAGCCTCACCCACAGACTCACCCACAGACTCACCCACAGCCTCACCCAATACCTCACCCACAGACTCACCCACAGCCTCACCCCCAGCCTCACCCACAGACTCACCCACAGACTCACCCAATACCTCACCAACAGCCTCACCCACAGCCTCACCCACAGACTCACCCACAGCCTCACCCAATACCTCACCCCCAGCCTCACCCACAAACTCACCCCCAGCCTCACCCACAGCCTCATCCACAGACTCACCTCCAGCCTCACCCCCAGACTCACCCACAGCCTAACCAAATACCTCACCCCCAGCCTCACCCACAGACTCACCCACAGCCTCACCCACAGCCTCACCAAATACCTCACCCCCAGCCTCACCCACAGACTCACCCACAGCCTCACCCACAGCCTCACCCACAGCCTCACCCACAGACTCACCCACAGCCTCACCAAATACCTCACCCCCAGCCTCACCCACAGACTCACCCACAGCCTCACCAAATACCTCACCCCCAGCCTCACCCACAGACTCACCCACAGCCTCACCCACAGCCTCACCCACAGCCTCACCCACAGACTCACCCACAGCCTCACCCACAGACTCACCCACAGCCTCACCAAATACCTCACCCCCAGCCTCACCCACAGACTCACCCACAGCCTCACCTCCAGCCTCACCCACAGACTCACCCACAGCCTCACCCACAGCCTCACCCAATACCTCACCCCCAGCCTCACCCACAGACTCACCCACAGCCTCACCCAATACCTCACCCACAGCCTCACCCCCAGACTCACCCCCAGCCTCACCCACAGCCTCACCCAATACCTCAACTCCAGCCTCACCCACAGCCTCACCCACAGCCTCACCCACAGACTCACCCACAGCCTCACCCACAGCCTCACCCACAGACTCACCCACAGCCTCACCCACAGCCTCACCCACAGACTCACCCACAGACTCACCCACAGCCTCACCCACAGACTCACCCACAGCCTCACCCACAGCCTCACCCACAGACTCACCCACAGACTCACCCACAGCCTCACCCAATACCTCACCCCCAGCCTCACCCACAGACTCACCCCCAGCCTCACCCACAGCCTCATCCACAGACTCACCTCCAGCCTCACCCCCAGACTCACCCACAGCCTAACCAAATACCTCACCCCCAGCCTCACCCACAGACTCACCCACAGCCTCACCCACAGCCTCACCAAATACCTCACCCCCAGCCTCACCCACAGACTCACCCACAGCCTCACCCACAGCCTCACCCACAGCCTCACCCACAGACTCACCCACAGCCTCACCAAATACCTCACCCCCAGCCTCACCCACAGACTCACCCACAGCCTCACCAAATACCTCACCCCCAGCCTCACCCACAGACTCACCCACAGCCTCACCCACAGACTCACCCACAGCCTCACCCACAGACTCACCCACAGCCTCACCCACAGACTCACCCACAGCCTCACCAAATACCTCACCCCCAGCCTCACCCACAGACTCACCCACAGCCTCACCTCCAGCCTCACCCACAGACTCACCCACAGCCTCACCCACAGCCTCACCCAATACCTCACCCCCAGCCTCACCCACAGACTCACCCACAGCCTCACCCAATACCTCACCCACAGCCTCACCCCCAGACTCACCCCCAGCCTCACCCACAGCCTCACCCACAGCCTCACCCACAGCCTCACCCACAGACTCACCCACAGCCTCACCCACAGACTCACCCAC